GATGACCAGAAGCCACAATATAGCCAAATTCAGAGCATTTGTACCCCATCTCCCAGTGATTGCTCCAGGCAAGGACTTGCTGTGGTGCGTGGGAGCTGGCTGCAGGACCCTGCCTATACAGAGAGGTGGACACCTATAGCTGTGGCCGTAAGGAACATGCTCAATAGCTGTACAGAGAGGTGGACACCTATAGCTGTGGCCATAGGGAACATGCTCAATAGCTGAGTAGTCACTGTGCTTGCAGAAAAAACTAAAACAACTCCAGCTGACGTTTCCAGCCATTGTTACTGGGAGTGTATTTTTATGTTGTTTTTTTTTAATTCTCTCAAATGAAGTGGCTCCTCAGTCTTCTCAGCTTTGTGTATCTGAGAAAGGAATGCCGGGAGCAGAGTAATTTCAGTGTGGCATCTAAAGTGGGATGGGGTGAATGGGGGTGCTTGCAGAAAAAACTAAAACAAGTTCCGATGACCAGAAGCCACAATATAGCCAAATTCAGAGCATTTGTACCCCATCTCCCAGTGATTGCTCCAGGCAAGGACTTTCCGTGGTGTGTGGGAGCTGGCTGCAGGACCCTGCCTGTGTTCCCATTACCATGTGGGAGAGGGAGAAATATTCCAGTTTAGACCCATATCATCTGCTGTTACAACACAGATTCAAGGCAGTTACTTTACTGGAGCTTTAGCTGGGTGGGGCAGACAAAAGAGCACTAATAAAAAACCAACAAGTTTTCTATTCTCTGCAACTCTGCTGTGTGGACACTAAGGAGGCACTTGCTAGCGTTCAACCGTGAAAGCTGCTGTCTCTCTCTCCTGGGGCATTTCAGCCCATGGAGAACACAGACCAGTTGGTTCACTAAGTTGTTCCCCACCTCCTGGCACAGTTCTCCAAGGCTTTGCTCTGTGACAAAACTGTGGGTATCCTTGGAAATGCAGCAGTAGAAGAGATGGGGGCTTTGCCTTGATAAATGCTGTTGTCTCTGGGTGTTTATTCAGTGTTTTTGAGAGAAGGTTTGGTGCAGAAGGGAAGGGACTTGCTGGAAAATGGCCAGTGATTGTGCAGTTAAGGCAAGCTTGGGCTGTCAGATTTTTTTTGGTGAAAGCAAGACAAATAGTTGTGCAGAGTTTGCTCTTGTAATCTCTTTCCCTTCTGGATTCCTAACCTGAAAGCATGCACTTCTGAGGATGACTACTGAACTGGGAGGGAAAAACAAGAACCTAACATTTCCAAGCCAAGCCTTTGCTAACCCACAGGCATGACCACTGAGCAGTCACATGCTGCAGGCAATGCCATTCTTCTTTTTCTCTTCCAGTTATAACTTGCTCAGTTCTTATATCACCAAGTAATACTGTGAACAGGTCCAAACATCCCCAGCTTCATCACCAGGTCCTTATTCTACGAGCTTCCAGTCAAATACTGGTTTGGTATGTTGTGGACGTCGCTGAAAGACAAATTTGTCCTACGATGAACCTTGATCAATTCATAGAACAGCTGTATCCTTGTGGTGCCCCGTTCCCCAGCCCAGAGTCATGGGAGAGTGGAAAGCACACACAGGGCATGGGCAGGTAAGCAAGATGTGATACACAGCCCCCTGGAGAACGTGCACACAGATAAATCATTGGCATAGTTCAGGCTCTAGCCAACACCCACAACACACACAGCGTAAGATGTAACGGAGATAACGTTTGTTTATGAACAAAAAGAGCAGAAAGGCAAATCTGCCTTTATCTGTCCAGGATGTAACTAAGGATGTAATTAAGCGGATGTGGAATTAAATGGACTGTTAGAGATGGAAAAGAACTAACAGATAACCGTCTTTGGTTGATGGTCTCAGGTGGAGTTTCCCTAAAAAAACAAGCAGGTTTTGTTTTCACAGCAATAAAGAATAGAAGTTCTGGTGCAGGCGTTGATGTTAGTAGCTGGACACACCGAACACAGAGCAGCAGTGCTGGGCTCGGGGTCTCTGCACCACGAGAGAAGCAGCATCTCCTGGGATTGCCCGTAGGATTGCCAGAGAAACATGAAAAACCTCTCCTTTGGAAAAGGAGGCTGGCACCTGTGGCCCTTGAGAGGTTGCCAACCCCTGTGTTAGGTGCAGCCTTCACTTATCTTCCTGTCAGTGGGCTGGGAGGCCTGTGTATCCCAGGAATCACACTTCTTACAGAGCTTTACTGGGGAGAAGCTCTGCTCTTGGCATCAGGTTACACCAGTCCATCCCTGAGGAGTTACAATACATCCCCATTTCCCAATCTCACCTCCTGTTTGAGCTAAGCAGCCTGGCTGCCTGAGTTCTGACAGACTGATTCTGAGAGTGGAGGATGATGTAATAGTATTCCAAGGAAGTGAAAGGCAGTACTCTGATTGGGTTTTTTAGGTTTTCTTTTCTCAAACCCCAAAGGTGAAAAGCTGTGTGTTGTGCATAGCAAGGCTGCTTTTGGCGAATGTGCTTGCCAGAGATTTGGATATTCCCTCAAGCACAGTCTTTCCTGAACACAGAGTCTTACAGACGTTCTCTGCAATTGCCAGCACAGTTCCTTAAAATCAAGGAAAGCTGTCTTTTTCTGCTTGGAAGAATCTTGCTATCCCTTGTGGCTCTAGGTTGGGCAGTAATGTTAGGTGGAGGAGCTTGAAGGAAAATGTTTGCTCTCTCTAGAATTTCCCTTTGGTATCCTATTAACAAAAAAAGCCTTGTAGTCACACACAAGCAGCTTCTTCCAAGCAGTGTGCCTGAAGGCCTTGAAAGAAGAGGCTGAAATGAGGCCATTGCTGTGTACGGTGTGTATCAGTGCTTCAGGACTGATACTTGCTCCTGTAAGAGTGTCCTGTTGGAGATCTTGTGGGCACAGAGTTGTTACTTGCCTGCTGCACACCCAGACCTGCTGCCAACCTCTCTAGAATTACCTGGAGTTCATGAGAGCTGCCCTGGAATATGGCAGGACCTTTGGCTGATCCCTTTCTCAGTGTCTGTAATTGTTTATCACATCTCCTTTGATCCTGGGCTCAGTTTGAGCAATAGTGATAAGTTTTGCTGTAGATGGAGGCAGGGTGTTATCCTGGACTAACAACCTCCCCTCAAGGAGCTTTTCAAACCTGTGTTATTGTTTCATTTTTCTCTCCTAGGTCCTCTGATAACCCACTTAAATCCAGTGAGAGTAACTTGTCAGGAAGTATGGACTTCAGCTACTACAGCTTTTTGCTGTGCTGTGTGGAGGGTACAAGGTAGGTGTGAAACTGGCTTTCCTGTCACTTAGAGCAAACGTCTGCAGTTCTCTGGGTGGTCAGTAGCAGTGAGAGTGCTGACTTCTGAGATATGTGATATTGTTATCAAAAGCTTTTTTATATCTGAGCTTAATTTCTTACAAGAGCTGTGCAAAAGCAGCCTATGTTGTAAGAAGCAATGTGACCATGTCCCCTTGAACTGTCAGGGTTAATATCTAATGGCTCCCCTGAGTTAAAATAGCCCTTTGCTGTAGCATTGTAAAACTACATCTGTGGCACAGGTTAAGTGTTTTTCTGGCTGTGGTGTTCCTCTCTGCTGACCTTGCCTTCTGCTGGTGGGGAGATGTGTTCTGGGCTGCCAGAGATCAGTCTCCAGGCAGACCACTGGTTATCATGGAGAGAAGAGGATGAGATGCATGTTGTGGCACTCGGGACGGGGAGGGGGATTGTCAGGTGCTGCCTGTCAATGAGAAGCAACGTACCCCAGGTCTGAATATGGTCATGGCCCAAATCAAGTGTAGTGCAACCCCCTAGGGTTGTAGCAGAGATTCGTTGCCCTAGGAGGCTTTTGTGTGCACATGGCATTAGTGAAGCTTTCTTTTAACTGACATTTGAACAGGCTTTGCTCAAAAATAAACTGTGGAGTTTAGCAGGGTGATATAGTTCTCTTAAATCCTACAGCTAGCCACAGACTCAAATCCATCCATGTCCTGTTTCGGTGGTGAACTGACATAGCTGTCATCTCCTGACCACTCAGTGATCCCTGTGAAGTGATGGGGCAAGAGTTCAAAAGCCAAAAGTAAAAGACCAGTCCTAGAGTTGGTGCTGGAGGAATCTTCATTGAGAGGTCACAGAGAAGAGCAGCTGAAGAGTGTATGTTGGTGCTGTTGGTGAAGTGGCTCCTGAGCCAGCTGGGGAACCTGAGCTGCAGGCAGGACTGCGTAACGATTTTGTCAGCAATAGCAGGGTTGGATGGTGCTGGAGTTGGCATCTTTCAGACAAGCGAAATGCTGAGCTAAAGTTTTTCCAGTTGCCCTAAAGGCAGGTTGGCTTTATTAAAGAGGAGGGGGGCTGTCTGACTCTAAACCCTGTCCTCTAATGCTTCACCCAAGCACTAATCTGCCTTTAAACCCAAACTCCTTTGTTCTATGGTGGATTTCCAAGGAGTCTTACTTTGACTTGTTTCAAAGCAGTGACAATGTAAAATGGATGTGTATCTAGCCATCAACTTTTGGGAACAGGGATTGTTTCTGGATTGGAGCTATAAGCAAGTACTGCATGAACAAGAAAATAAAGATCTGTTTATGGTTATGGCAAGGATCTTGCCTGAGCCCTTGGGAGCTATAAGCAAGTACTGCATGAACAAGATCCTTGGTTATGCCAAGGATCTTGCCTGAGCCCTTAGGCAATTAGCAGTCTGAAAGCTCATTTCTTTGACTGTAACTATGGCTGCTTCTATAATTCACACAAATGTTCCCAGTGATGCTTACACCAGATTAGAGGTAAAGGGTTTCCTTCTTACACCAGCCATACCTCATTAAGGAAAATGTAGGGAGTTTCCAGTGTTTGCTGTGAAAGGAGTTTCTTTTCCAACTCTGTGTTGCAATAACCTTTGGGTGGTAGATGGGAACCAGTGCAAAGCCACTGTCTTTTCTGAGGAATTGGGTCAGTGTGTGGAATGTTTGAGAATGTTGTGAGAGAGGGTGTGCACGTTCTTGTAGGGAAATCTGGAGAAAAGACCAGCCCACTCATTCAACACGCCTTTGGAAAGCACTGCCTAGTGAGCACCTCTGGGGAGCAGCAGCAGTGCCTCTGTTGCTCTCAGGTGTCTCACCATGTGGTTTTTCAGGAGAAGGCTTCCTAAAATTCCCAGAGCCTTCATTTGGCTCTTTGTTTTAATAAACTTTTGCATTTTCATTGCTAATTTGAACTTCTCGTTTGGCTTGTCAAAGACAAGGATTATAAGGTAAGAGACCTGCTTCCTTGTGGTGTGTGCTGTCGGGATAGAGGGCTTGTACTCTCTTTCTTTCTTTCTGTGTCTTTTCACCCTGAACCTCACACTTCTGCTCTGAGCCAGATGACTGCTTTGCTTTAGCAGACCACGTTGTGTACAGTCAAAGCACAGTGTTGGAAGGTCCGCAGTCAAAAACCTGCTTCTGCTGGGTCACTAGTTTATAATCATAGAATCATAGAATCGTCTAGGTTGGAAGGGACCTTAAAGATCATCTAGTCCAACCATCAACCTAACTCTGACAAAAAAAAATAAATAAGAAATAAGCAATAAAAAAAAATCACTAAACCATATTCCTGAGGACAAATGTTTCCTTGTGTAATGTTTCCTTGTGTGGCAGTTTAAGAAAGCAGCTTATTCATTACTAATGCTACCTGTTTTCATACTTCGGGACTACATAGTATTTGCTTTTCCTGGTGGCTCCCAGGGGGACATCATTCTTCCCAGATTGTATTACTGGACATTCAATTTGGTGGGATACCCTTCAATTTACAGTGAGTTTCACATCTGATTCCTAATACACATATGCTGCGTACTGGGAGACCAATCGTGCAGACACGGTCAAGATAGATACTATTTTTTTATATAAATGGTCAAGTAAATCCTACAAGAATGGGTGTGGAGGGAGTAGCAGTGAAGACTGCAGTGAAATGTCTCCAGCATCATTGTCAGGAAGCAGTTCCTTGCATGAGCACAGCAGGTATCTGAGCCTTTCCTACTCAAGCATGGCTCCCTCAGGTGTTGGTGCCCTGTGCTGTGCATAGGAAACATCACTCCCCACCCTCCCTACCTCCCCTCATGAGTTCCAAATTCTCCCAATGAGCTTGTCTGCCTTGTCTTGGTGGGGTTAGTTTTCAGCTAGACCTCTCTGGGCTGATGCTGTGGGGGCAAGAAAGAGTGGTGAGGCTGGGAACAGCTCTTCTGGAGGTGACATCAGTTTAACTCAGTTCCAGTGACTTGACAGCACACCTGGAGGACAGCTCTCTCTCTCTGGAGAGATTGGAATCTGCACAAGGAAGGTGAAGAGAAGGGAAGGGTGTAGAGAAGTGAAGTTGGTTGTCTGGTCATAGAGCTGGGACAAGAACTGGCTCTCCATGGCCAGCTGCTTGAAGCCATTCCATTCTGTTGTAGTTTCACATAATGGAAATGTCCATATTTTTGCAACTTAAGTAAAACACAAGTAGGCATGAGCTGCATGTGGTTATCTGTGTATCAGTTCCATTTCGTTACCTTTTATATGCAACGTAAAATACACCAAGTAGCATTTTCATGGCTTTATACTCTATTTGTCCTAGGGTGTTGTAAATGCAGAGGAAGATGACCCTAAATGTCATTGAGCCTCTGCAGTTGTTTGCCAGCTGGACTCCAGAGCCTGAAATTTGATGAGCTGCTTTGACCAGTTGTCTGCATTTAAAATGCTGGTCAGGAGAGCAGGATCCTGTGTAGGCACGAGCACCTGGTCATGTGGGTCTGACTGCAGGGAGCAAGGTTTTGGATGTGAAGGGACATTTTGGTCTCTGTATGTTTGGCACAGTGTTTGAAATTGAGGTGTAATAGAGCTGGGATGGAAACTGTGCCCCGTGAAACGGCAAGTACGGAAGGTCTGGGGCGGGGAGGGCTTCTCATACTGTCCTGTTTCATTTGTTCTTTATGTCAAAATTTTAAACATCATCTTAAAAATACAACAGAAAATCCTCCATGGATTTAAGATCTGAGTTATCTTACTAAATTTCTCCTTTCTTACAGTGTATATATAAAATCTTTCCTCTTACCAGGCAGTAAACAGTAACAAGTTTATACATGAAGCAACCGCTGCATTCTTTATTCAATCTGGCTAATGATTACGAGGGGAGGTAGAGGAAGAGCTGATAGGCCATTTACCACCATTTACCTTTTTGACTTAGAAATAGCACTGGAAAGGTTCAAGTATTTATCCGATACAAAATGATTTTTAAAAGCTTCCTTAGTTGATAATTTCCTAGTCACTTTAATGAATGCTGTACCACTCTGAAGCTTCAGCAGCCATCGAGCTGTTATCTACAGCCTGCTCTCTGCACAGGTGGTTTTTCCCCATTTATCAGCTCAGAAGCAATCCACAGCTCTCTGAAACAAACCAGGGTGAGTGTGAAATGGGGCTGCCTCAACTACACTGGTTTATCCTGTAAAGCTTTGCTGTACATAAAAGCTTAGCTGCAGAAATTTTTCACCTTCATTTTTCCTGTTCCACCCTCCAGCCATGTGCTGATAAGAACAAACGTCTGGGACAAAAATCCACCACTTCTGCCTTGATTTTTTTTTTTTTCTGGGTTTCAGCCCAGTCTCGTTGCAGGTGGCTCTTCTGTTGTTGGCAGCTGTATCCTCCTGTGACGTCCTTGTACCTGCCTGTGCCTCTGAGTCAGGCAATGGGGCAGCTGCAATGTTAGAGGCGATTGCTGAAAATGCAGAGATTTTACATTTTTAAGCTTCAGAGTGTATTTTAATAGCATCGGAGTGCCTGTCTTAAGACACAGGTACCTGCCGAGTGCTGTGGGATGCCATAGCATTAGTTGGCCAAGGGGGAGGAGGAGAGGAGAAAGCACCTTGTGGTCCCCAATGCTTGAGAAGTGATGTATGGTAAAGGGGTGAGTTTCGCTTCTTATTTGACTTCCCTTCCTGAATTCTGGAAGATCTTCATGCTCTGTCACTGAAGCACTTGGCTCTGCTGGCAAAGGAGAGAGGCAGATGGCTGCCTCCATGGTGTGTGCCATGTCCTCAACTCAGCATCTCCTGCAGTGAGTCTGGGGACATTGCCAGGGGTCCTGCCTGGTGCAGGGCAAAGCTGTTCCGTGCTGGTTTGCAGTTACTGCCAGCGTGGATGTTCCATGAGCCAAGTGCTGAAGAGGAGTGGGGAGCCTCTGGGATTTGCTTGCTGGGGAGCTGAGCGGCATTCGGGCCAGAACGGTGTGGGAAGTTGGTGGTGAAGTTGAAATTGAATTCATAAAGCATCCTGCAGAACCTTAGTGGCAGTTGCCAAGCAAGTCCTGTGAGCGTGGTGGTCGTAGGCAGCGGTTGCTCTGGAGCAGGGAGGGACTCAGAGTCTAGAGAAATGGGCTGGAAGGTGTTTGGTGTTAAATGGAAAATGTGTGTGATGTGTCTGCTTTTCCTTTGGTTGCATTCAGGCAATTGAACGTTTTCCAGCATGCCCCAGATGTGCTACAAATGGACACCCAAGAGCAACAGGGTCTCAACTATTCTGATAATGGGAACTCAAGGAGTGTTCTAAAGGTGATTTTGGGGATCACAAAACTCAAACAAGATACGGTTGAGAGGACACAAAAATGGGAAGGAAAGGAGGAGCAGAAGAAAACGATGAAACCAGTTGCCAGAGTGGAAGAAGCCAAGGAGAACGTGACTGTGAAACCACCTGCCAGGTTGGAGGAAATCAAGAAGACAACAGTGAAAACAGTCCCTGGGGTACAGGGAAACAAGGAGAAGACAACAGTGAGACCAGCCTCAGGGGTGGAAGAAGCCAAGGAAAAGACAATAGTGAAACTACTTCCCAGGGTGGAGGGAGCCAAGGAGAAGACAACAGTGAAACCATCCTCTGGGGTGAAGGGAGCTCATGAAAACAACGTATCCAAAGACCAAACAAAGCCAAAAGAACCTCCTGCACCGGTGAAAACTGTAACCTCTGTTCCTCGGGTTGCTGCAGTGACAGAAAAGAAGAAACTGAGGGCTGCTGACTTCACGTCTGAGCCACGGTGGGACTTTGAGGACAAGTACCTGCTGGACAACTCATCTCCGTCATCGGTAGGTGTGATGACCATGTGTGTTCACCAAGAATGATACCTCCATGTTGACCTCCTTGTCTGCTGTCCCCTGGGCATGTGTGCCCTTTGCAGTTGAGGATGATCTCCAAGCTGGTAGGTCTCAACTCACTGGTATATGCAGATGCTGCTGGAACCCAGAGAGGGAGACCAGTATGTACGACTCAGTTAACCTGTCCAGTCAGAAACTGGAGAAAATATCTCTCCTCTTAGATGTGCTACGAGGTGGTCCCACTTTTAGGCGCCTTGATATACTGCGTAGGGGACTTAGGCACACAGTGCAGCGTGTGTGTTCCCTGTGACATGGCACTGTAAGGTAAGTTGAGTTACATCTGGTCTTGTGGTGCCCACGGGCAGGCCTTAGGGGTCTGGCACTAAATGGTAGTCTTCATCCAGGTGTCCCATTTCTCACCCGATCTCTTGGGAAATCCCACATCTGCATTCCTATGACGACTCGGGTTTACAATCCCCAGATTTGCCTTGGTCTTTGTTTTATGCAGCCCAGCCAAAGAAAACAGGCAGGGTCAAGGTGAGGGAGCAGGGATATCTCCGTGTGCCTGCTCGTGCAAGCACGTACCTACCAAAGGAAGTCACAAGCTCTGGCAGCAGTGACGCTTGTGCCGTGCTGGGCTCTGAAGAATGACTCTGGCAGTGATGGTGAGGAAGGTCTTAGTGCACAAGAACAAAGTCTTTGTTAATTGGCTGGTATTGAAGCTAAGGTCAAGGAAAAAGGGTTAGATGAGGCTTGATAAGCGTGTACCTGCCGGCTTTGGAGACAGTAGGGGGGGGACTGCTCCCACCTTTAAGGTTTTCTGTCAATATTGGCAAAAATTCAACTGTATGAGTGTGTGCCCCACTGGAGAAATGATGATTAAAAAGTAACATTTTTACTGTTCTCGTGGTTTATTATCAACAAGAGGAGACTATTTCCCAGCTGTTGTCAATTCATCTTTTCCACACTTTATGTACTCACTTGTAGTGAGCAGGCAGATTCTTTACCTGTTCAGAGCTCCACGCCTCAGGTGGTCCCAGCATGCTGGGTTGCTGTCTAGGATTTTCTTGCCACGTGTTGAACCATCATCACAGCAGAACAAATAATTCGTAACAGAGCTGGCATTCAACGAATCTTGCTTTGGTCCTCTTTGGTAAAGAGGAACAACTGTAGGCCTGGTCAGCACAGGTGAAGTGTTATGGTAGAGGTGAAGATGAGAATCTCAGATGATACAGTTGTGCCGGTCAAGGCGGTAGCACTTGCACAGTTTCAACTTCAAAACTTTTCTTGCAGATCCTGTTTTTGGGAGCCTTGTTCTGAAGGTTAGTTCTCACGATCACCTCTGCTTGTGTACATCATATTACTGATGTCATCTTCTGAGACGTTAAGTCTGGTGTCCACTATCAGGTTGTCTTAACAGCTGTGGAATTGAAAGCCTGTCTTTTCCTTTTCTGTTTTGCACTGAACTCTTGTTCTGACCATATTTTTGACCTTCCCTTTATAGCTATCAGTATTTGGAAAGAATTTAAAATTAAATTTGAGCATCTCATAATTACTCAGTTCCAAGAACAGGGCCTTTAGGAAAGTCATAAGCCATAGCAAAGTTCTCAGCAAGCAGATGGGGCAGGTTGTGGTGCACAGTACTGTCTCTCTCCCCCATCTTATGCTGGTAACTCTTTGTAAAACTTACCCAGAGCAGTTTTCCCTGACACCCCTGCTGCTGGAAGGCTTGGACAGGCAGGTGACCTCTCTAGAGTGGGACAGGTCTTTATAATACATGGGTGTAAGTGGCCTTTAGACACTGCTCATGTGCTCAGGGAGGAACAAAGGTGTAGGACAGGAACACTTGTTCTAGTTTGGTGGTCTGAGATGAGCTATTTGCCTATTTAAAGTCTTGGTGCTGCAGTCTTCCACCATTGCCATGTGTCATCTTGGTGGCATTAGGGGGAACATAGATGTTGCTCCGAGGGACTGTCAGGGCTGCAGGCACCACGTGATTTTGCTCAAACCTTTCCCAGTGGAGCAGGTTGGAAGCTCTTGGAAAGAATCCTATTCCCCAACCCTAAGGTGCCCAGGATGCCCTGGGAGACATGCAGAGAGCAGAGGTAGAAGAACTGAGCTGATAAAAAAAACCAAAACTATGGTGAGTTTTGTTATTTTTAATGTTTCATTTTTGAGTTCTCTCTCCCTTGTGGCATTTAGATATTGTTCCCCATTGCCCCTTTTGGCAGCGCGAGCCATTCTTTTTCCTGATGGCACGTGCTCTTCAGTGTGGCATTGAGTCACTGGAGAGGAGCAGCTGGCCCCAAAGATACCCCTGTTATCCAAAGATCTGGGACTATTAAACGTGGAACTTGGCTGTTAAACGCTTGAGCTCACACGCTGGCCCAGCCTGACAGAGAGACAACAGAAGGGCCTGGCAGATGATCCACTCTGTGGTGCAGGATGTGCATCCTTCTTCTTGGGCTCCCTGTGGTCTCGAGGCACCCAGAATACAAATGAGAGTGCGTGACTAGGAGTGCATATGCCATATGAGACAGTACCTCACCCCTCCTGCCCAGTGTTACTGCCTGTAGACACAGTGGGTTTGGTCAATGGGATCCTGCTCATCAACTGCCAGATGTTCCTGTCTTCTCATCTGATGAGCTGCAGGACACGTGGAGCCATCTCAGAAGAGCAGAGCAGGAGCTGGCAGAGAAATGGGAGACAACAGGTCACAGCAGGAAGCTGAAAACATCTGCCCCTGTAACTGGGGCTGCAGAGCATCTGGATGATGCTCTGAATGGCTGAGATTGGGGAAAACCCTTCCTCAGTAGGGAAGAGAGGAGAAAGTGCATGCAGAAGAGTGAAAATGTGGATCCAGACATCGCATGTTGGATCCCTAATTCTCAAACCTGATCCCTAATTCTGCAGAGAGAAGGAGTGACTAAAGCACTCCCAACTCCTTCATTTCATACATGATTAGACTTTTCCCTGTTTCCTCTGGTGCTGATCCATTCTAGCTGGGGAGGCACAAGAAGTACCAAGCCTTGGGCAGTATAAAGTACAGCTTGGGCAGGAAGGGAATGTCCCTGTCTCTGGACATGGAATGTGCTGCAAGTGAAATGATGCCAACACGAAACCCTCCACGGTGTTATTCTGGTTGCACTCCTGTTGTGACAGGCAGAATGAGGGCTGTCTCGTCAGGCTGTGACTGGGTTGTCACCCTCATCCCTAGCAGAGCACCCGGCTCAGCTGTGGAGTACACAGCCAGGCTTTGGCAGCGCAGTCTGGTCACTGCTGGGGATTTGAGCCGGGCACGTGGGTCCACTTGGTTTCCTGTTTTGTCTCTCAGTAGGTATTTGTGGAAGATATCTAAGATAGTAGACACCAGATTGACTGGGAGGGAAATGCAGTGGAGTTGTTTGCTCTCCATCTGCACACACAGCCTGACTCTTTACCAGCTGCAGCGTGACCCCTCTTGTTAGGTTTCTTGCTGGTTTGCCCTCTCAGCCACATGCTTCTCTGTGATTCAACATTTATGATGTTGAATGAGTTGTTCACATGCTTTCTCTTATCTTTAAAGGGAGTGATAATGGTGATGTGACATCACATGTTCCTCAGTATGTTTGTTCACGTGCAGTCTGAGGTCGGGACCTTGTGAGGTGTGTTGCTAACCAGGACTCCTGACCTTGTTGGGTGTGTTTAGATTAGACCAATTACAGGTATTAATTTTCATCATTTAATGAGGCCTTAAGCTGGTAAAACATTTGAGCATTGTAGGCCTGTTGTTCTGAAGAGGAAAGTCTCAGAGACCTGGAGTCACCCTGGCTTCCTTGTAGGTGACTTTCCACCAGCTACTATTGATGTAGCGCTGAAATTATACCTCGTGTACGTGGTGATGGGACACTGAAGGGGATGGATGATGTACCACTGGAGCTTCTGTGCTGCTTTCTGATACTCTCATACACAAGCACTGGCACTCAGTCAGGTTTGTCAGCTCCCTGCTAATCAGCCCTTATTGTTTTCTTTTTGTTTTTCAAGACTTGCTCTGAATCGGTGAAGGCCAAAGCTGCCAAGTCTGACTGGCTGCGGGATCTTTTCCTGTCCAACATCATGCTCTTCACAGACAAGAGATACTTCAATGACAGCGAGTGGAACCGCCTGGAGCATTTTGCACCTCCCTATGGCTTCATGGAACTGAATTATTCACGTGAGTCCCTCAGGGCATGTCAGGATGGGACCTTCAAACTCCCTTATCTCCAGGAGCTGGACATTTTCAGCATCTCTATGTCAAAGGCATCAGGCTAGATGGATCTCATGATGGAAACTGTGGTGGTTTCACTCTGTCCATCCCAAAGGCTTTTGATGCTAACTCTTTACTGTGTTTGCTTTACAGTAGTGAAAGAGGTCATGTCCCTGCTGCCCCCAAAACCCCACCAGCAGCTGCTCCTGGCCAACAGCAACAGCAGCACACCGACATGCATCAGCTGTGCTGTCGTGGGGAACGGAGGAATATTGAATAACTCTGGGATGGGCCAGGAGATTGACTCCCATGACTACGTCTTCAGGTAAGGCAAGCTTCCTTCTTAGAAGATACACAGCTAGATTATTCTGGCTAGTAGATCATAAAAGCTGGATAACTTCACATCTTCTGGTTTTGCACAGACTCTGAAGTGCCAAAATAACTGATGCAGGAGGTGAAAAACCAAAAAGGAATCGGAAAGTTGCTAAACACCCAGGAAGAGCCTGGGTTCAAAAAGGAGCCATAAAGAGCCATCTCCAAAGCTGGGGAAAGTGGCTCTCCAGCAGATTAAGAGGTTTAGCTCAAATGGGCCTAACCTTCCCTTCCTCCAGACTAACACTGTCTTTTCCTGTTATAAATGTGGATGTGAGGGTTTTCAGTGGTCACCTGCTAAGTCTGCTCCTCTGTTTGATTTCCATGGCCAGGGTGAGCGGGGCTGTAATCAAAGGTTACGAAAAAGACGTGGGAACAAAAACCTCCTTTTATGGATTCACGGCCTTCTCTCTGGTGTCCTCTCTCCAGATCTTGGGACACAGAGGATTCAGCAACATTCCACGGGAAAAAGTAAGTCCAGTCCACGCTGTATGCGTGCAGAGCTTTGATGGGATGCTCTCAGTCTGTGGCCTTCAGTTCTGATCTTGCCGTGCATGAGGAGCAAAGGGGCTCCTTTAGCCCTATTAATCCTTGAGCATTAATTACCCTTAGTGAGGGAACCTGCGTTGGCTTGGCTCGCAGTGAGTATTTGCAGCGGCAACTGCATCAGTCCCAGCCCAGTTCTTTGGGCTGTAGAAGTAGCTGCACATTAGGTGTTATCTCCACGCTGCTTCTGCAGGATAGTTAAAACTGCAGACTGAAGATGTGTGTCCAAGAACCTCAGTGAGCCTACATGCCTGCTTGCTTTTTGTTTTTAAAGGAAGTGTCTCTCTCGTGCTGTTCCTTAACACTCACTGTTTTTTTTCTTAGCACGTCAGATACATTCACTTCCTAGAGGGAGCTAGAGACTACGAGTGGCTGAAGGCTCTTCTGCTGAACAAGAACATCAGGGAAGGATTCTTGAACGAGTACGTGTCAAACTACCTGGCCCCATCTGTACACCCTTTGGTTTGGGCATCTCTGCTGTGCTTTCTTCCTCTCCCCAGTGCTCAGCCCTGCTGAATTGCAGGCCAGGGCAAAGCCAGGCTAAAGCCTCCCTCTCTTTACAGATTTATCTGGAGAATTATCTTCTTTCCTCTGAGAAAATTTCCACCTCTGAGCACTGCTGTAGCAAATACGCCTCCATCCCAGAAGTAGCTGATTTCAGTGGTGTGTGGCCAGAGCTTGGAGAGAGCTTTGTGGTCTTCTGGGATGATCATATGATGTCTGGCCTGGTGTCTGCTCATGGTGGTCTACTTGCAGACAAAGGCCTGGTCTCACCAATTCTTGTCTATACATGCACATGCTTTCAGTGTTTCTGTCTCTTGTTGTTTCCTCTCCTCCCTGGTCTCTTCCTCTGCAACGCACCCAGGTTATGTGTCAGGGGGCTTTGTTGTAAGCTGGGAAGTGTTGCAGAATAACTTAACAGTGTTTGTGGTTTGTGGTTCTTCTCTTATCACCAAGTGCATCAGGGCTGTTGCTTTCCAGCTGCCATGAAATATAAGAGCTTGTCTTGAGTTTCCCATTCCTGTCTTTAGGGGGAGGCCTCGGGAGAGATTCGATGAAGATTTCACCATGGACAGATACCTGGTGGTTCACCCTGATTTCCTCAGATACATGAAAAACAGGTGAGTTGGGGATTATGTGCTCTAACGGGCTTGTTTTTTTCTGGCCAGCACCATTTCTGTCTCTGGGCTCCCTCCTCCCAGCTCACTCCTTTATAACCACAGTTCAGCCACCCCAGCAGACTAGGGGTAAGCTTTGTCCGTGTGCAGGCAGTTCACATTCTCTGTGGTGCTGCAGTGGATGTTAGCCATGGGTGGACATCCCGCATCTGTGAGCTGGAGAAGCAACACCCGTTGGACAATTTGGCTTTCTGCATCCAAAGGAGGTCTCCTGGGCAAATAACAGCTATAGATATGGGAAGAATAGTGCCACAGTGCCAGAATAGTTGATCTAGTTTGGGACCAACCTGTCATGTTCTCTGTTGCTTATCACCTTGGAGGAAGGCTCGGTAACAGCTCTTCTCTCTCAAGATCCCTTCTTTACTCAGGAGGCTGGTTGTGCCCTCCAACACCATAATAGACACTTCTTCAGCAGTGCATTTGCCTGGCCTGGCTGCTCTTCTTTGCCTCTCTAATCCTTTCACGAGCCTGCTGGACACTGTCACTGTAAGATGTGCCAATCGTGGGCCACACGTGACCAAGAGATGTAGGAAGAAGAGCTCCTGTTGTGCCCTGCTTCGGCTGTGTTTACATTTTGGTCTCCTTGAGAGCCAAGTTATTCCTTCTCTGAGAGAAGGCAAATGCAGTGCCAGATGGCTCCCACCTCCCTTCTTGTTCTGCCATCTCCCCTCTGACTTGGGTCCTTTCCAAGGCCAAGAGGGCTCAAATGCTATTTTTTCCTGGTGTGGACTCCTTCCTTCCAAACAACTGTTGGCATAAAACACTTCAGCACCTACTGAGTTTGGTGACCTTCCTCTGTACCTTTGCTATGTCTCGTTTCACTCCTAAATGTGGATGAGGAGCAAGACGTACCAGGGAGCTTCAAAGCCATTTCTGTGCTGTGAGGCAAAGGACTGATTTAAGAGTGAGCTTTGACATAGTAGATCCTTTAATCCACCCCCTCTTTATCCCCGCTGCCTCAAGAACTACCACTTCCATAAAGCTGGAGCAGAGCTGGGTTTAGGTCGCGGTGCAGGTGATGGAGAATTCTGGGCTGGGCTGGGGCTTTACTGATTACACAGTGGTACCCACACACGTGGATGTACTCATGGCTTCTCTGAAATGCTTCCTGTGGCCACAAACTGCTGCTGGCAGGGAAGATGCCATCCAGGCCACAGGGGGACAAGGTGTGCCCAGCTTGAACCACTGCACCCAGCAACTGCTCTCTGCTTTCTTCTCTCCTGCTGCAGGTTTTTAAAATCTAAAACTCTGGAAAAGCCCTACTGGCGGCTGTACAGGCCAACAACAGGGGCTTTCCTGCTGCTGACTGCCCTCCATCTCTGTGACCGGGTAAGGACACTGTCTGGAAGGGATGTAGGATGACAGGAGGAGCAAGGATGGCTCTGGCCCTGCCTAATATCTGCCTTGAGGGTTTATGGGTTCTTTTGTCAGTCGTGAGGGAGCAGAGTGAAGACAAAAGAAACAGCCCCAAATAATTCACCTAGAGGTTGTGAAGCCTGCTGTGGCCTGAGAACCATCCCGCTCTCCCAGTGAGAGGAGAGCAGGCTCTCTGGATCCAGCATCCACAGTCTGGTCCTTCTGGACCTGAATGCAGGGTCACTCGGAGGAGCCCTGACTGGCAGCCCTGTCCTGTGCTCCCTCCTTGTTTGGGAACTGTGTCTTGTATGTCACTTCACTCCCTCCATCCTCGGTCCCTCTCCCCAGTGAGCCCTCCCATCTTCCCCAGGTGAGTGCCTATGGCTACATCACAGAGGGTCACGAGAAGTACTCGGATCACTACTATGACAAGGACTGGAAACGTCTGATTTTCTACACTAACCACGACTTCAACCTGGAGAAGCAGGTGTGGAAAAAGCTTCACGACGAGAATATCATGAAGCTTTACCAGAGGCCATGATTGCATGGGCAAGGGCCACTGCCTGGGAAATTGCAACACTGTCATTGGGAATGGAAGAGGACCACCAGAGCCAAGGTTAGCTCTGGACTTCAGGCACATTTCATCCCATAAAGATATTTCCCTCTTTCAGCACCTTTATTCTCTCACAATGTTTCTACAAATGTGCAAATGCTACAGACCAGGAGAAGAACAGCAAGAAAATGCAGCACGGCAATGAGGGGACTTCAGGCACATTTCATCCCATAAAGATATTTCCCTCTTTCAGCACCTTTATTCTCTCACAATGTTTCTACAAATGTGCAAATGCTACAGACCAGGAGAAGAACAGCAAGAAAACGCAGCATGGCAATGGGGTTGTCCCATCTGGCCATGCTGCAAGACTTGCTGATGATTGTAGTGGGAGAGGAGAATCCAGGGTGGATCTGGGTAGCATGTGGTCCGGTGTCCTGCATCTTCATCCAGGTTTTTCTCCTTTTGCAAGGAGATGCTCCTCAGGCTGGGGCTACTTCTGTTCTGGGTGGATCCTCTCCATTAGTGGTGCCCATCTTGGAGCTGAGTGTATTGTCTAAGGGAAGCTCCCTCTGCAGTCAGTAGACAGAGGTGGACACACAGATTCTGTCTCAGGTTCACTTAATTCCTGGAGGTGCTGCTCCAGTCTGCTCCCTGCAGATAAAGTGGATGGACTGGACATTTCCAGGTGACTAATTTGAGAGAGAATGAGTCTCACTTCTGCTTCCCAGTGTGGCCTCATTATGGCACCTCTGAAGGAGCACCACCTGTCAGCTCCAGGGCAGATGAAGGCTCTCTGTGGTGCAGCAGGCACGCTGGGCTTGGTGGCTTTTGCTCTGGGACTCCCCTGGCTGCTGGACATGTAAATAAATAAATAAATGACACTGCTTTAGCCAAGCTGAGTTTTCATTGCAACCCCGTGGGATGTGGTTATTGAATGTGCAGCCAGAGCAGTCGCTTAAAGGCTGAGATAGTGGATGATGAAGCCAGAAAAGGGCAGGAACTGAGTGTTAATGAGAACATCTCCATCTGCAAGTGCTCTGCAGCTTGTGTGGACACCCCTGTGCATCCCCTACTTGTTCACCTTGCTGTCACAGGATGGGGATCAGAGCTGGCCAAACACCTCCCTGAGGAAGTGGGTAAACACCTGGAGAGTTTGTCCTTGTCCCAGCAACTGCTCTCTGGACGTATCAAATGCTGGAGGTAAATGTGAGGAGAGCTGGATGTTTTCCTCGTGACACCACAAAGGTGAAAAGCCATTTTCAGGCAGGTCCAGCCCATCTTTGCGGGCTCATCACGCTCTGGACTGGGGTCCAGCTGCACACTGACTGGTCCCAGTGGACCTGCACTGGTTGCTAGTGGCTTTCCTTTTGTGCAGCATTTCTGTTGGGGGCAGCAGTGTCTCCAGGGACCCCCCGGGCTCCGGGGGAGGCATTTCAGCAGGGATTGTCAGCAGGGTTTGCCAAGCCCCATTTCCTTTGTCCCTTTTTATCCCATGTGCCAAGCAGTTTCTCATGTCTCACTAAACTTGTTTGCAGGGAACAACCCCCCACATTGACAATCTACGTGAAGAATTCAGTTTATCTGGGAGAGGGTGTAGCCTGCCTTTGGCTGCTCTGCCCATACAAGCCCTGCAGTGTCCCTGGGAGCAGGGAGCCATCCCAAATGCTCTGTGCCTCTGTTGGGAATGAGGTATGTGAAGCCACGGGATTTGGAGCAGACCAGAAATCCTTCCTGAGCAGGAAATGGCCTCCCTGTGAAAGGAAAGCCCGATGGAGCCGACCGAGGACAAACTCCTGCACCCAGGAGCTTTGGACCCCGCTGGGTGCCTCAGCCCCTCGTGGTGGCTGTGTACAGCTGGTGTCCCCTGTCCCCAGGCTCTGGAGGCAGCTTTGTTCCTCGCCCATGTGTTGGGCCGTACCGAATTGCTGTGGGTTGCTTAGTGACCGGGTATTCTTCCTCCCTGAATAGGGCTTTTCTCTTCCCCAGAAGTTGGAAGAAGTTTCTCTTAGACCTTTTCCTTCCCCCTCCTCCTCTTTTGTTTTCCTCTCCTCTGGGAAGCGAGATGGGTCTGAGTCCTGCTGAGGGAGAGGAGCCGGGTGGGCGAGGAAGAAGCTTTGGAGATGGGCTGGCAGCCCCCAGCCCACGCTTTCCCCTGGTGCCCAGCTCCTCTTTGTGGCTGAGGCTTCCCAGAGTCAAGGGAAGGAAACTTCCCAGGAGGGTTTCTCCACCAGCAGAGCCTGTTCCCTCCAGGCTGTCCCCTCAGCACAACTGACATAGTTTGGTGTTACCCGGGATAATCTGGGTTGGAGAAGGCCCTTTGCTGTGGTCTGGAGTTTCCCAGCAAGCTCTAAACCATGTCCTCTCTGAAAGCAGCTCTGACTTGACAGTCCCTTTTGCCTCCTTGCTTTGCTCCTGCACTGAGGCACCCTGTCCCACCATGGGCTGGCCCAGGTGTGGCACACACGGGGACACGTCCCCTGGAGCACAAGTCCAGCTGTGTCCCACCAGAGCCACCTAACCTTATGGCATCACGTCCAGAGCCAGTTGAGGACTGGAAAGTTGAAAGTTGAAAAGAACATTGAGGACATTTGGAGGTGGCATTTCCCAGCCAGGATGCAGGGCTTGGGTGAGTCCCCCACTGGGTGAGTGTCCACAGTGGGCATAAGTGGCAATGCCAGGCTGTGCCGGAGTAGCCCCAGCCTCCCCAGCGTGGCTCAACAGTCCGTGCCACCCCAAATGTCCCCACCCAGCTCCTCGTAGCTGGCAGGCCAACAGCATTGTCCCGGTGCCACCAGGTGGCAGCTCCTCTTCAGGGACCTGTCAGCATCGTGCGATGTCTGGCACATCCAGGTTTGGCACAGGCCATGTCCGAGCGCCATGTCCTGCAGCTGCCCGTGTAGCACCAGACTGGTGTCCCCCAGTGTCCCTCACTTTGCAACATCCACCTGATGGCCCAGGAGCTCCTTGGGGACATGTGTGGAAGAGGTGCAGCCTTGGCTTGTGCGACGTGGCACAGCGCTGGAGGAACCAACAGCGGGACCAGGTCTGGCATCTTGAGAGATGCCTTGGGCACGGCGACTCCTCCTCCTGCATGGGCACCATACCCAGTGCCAGCACCAGCAGCGTCCGTCCCCGCTGCCAGCCAGGATCTCCGGGTCTGATGGATTTGAACAGAGATGCCCGATTTGATGAAGAAACACATGACTGTGCTTCAGGGTGCTTGGAAGCTGCTGTAGAATCCACCTTGTTTTTTGCCAAGCTGGCAGTGAGCATCACAAGCCCTTGGTACAGCCGTGCCCAGCTCCTCCCTGGATTCCCCAGGAGTTAACAGCCTCTAAATATTCCCTGCCAGGTTGTGGGAAACAAATCCCTTCCTTGCCCAGGAGCTCTCGCGGCGTCACCTTCCTGGCAGGACTTTGAATCTTTTGTTTGGTTTCCACCTCCTTCCCTTTTTGTGGGGCGGCTGCAGGTCTAGCAGAGGGAAGCAGGGCCCACGTCCTGCTGCACGTTCTCAGGCATGTAGTTCCATGGCTGGGGCTGGGACTGAAGCGGGAGGAAGATGATGGATGGGACTTCATAGAATCATAGAATCACGTGGGGTTGGAAGGGACCTCTGGAGATTATCTAGTCCAATTTCCCCGCCAAAGCGGGTCCACCCAGGGCAGGTTGCACAGGAACTTGTCCAGGTGGGTTTTGAACGTCTCCAGAGAAGGAGACTCCACCACCTCCCTGGGAAGCTTGTTCCAGTACCACTCTCACAATAAAGAAGGTCCTTCTCACGTTTAGGTGGAACTTCTTATACTCAAGTTTATGCCCATTTCCTCTTGTCTTGTCTTGTCCCTGGGCACCACTGAAAGAAGACCAGCCCCATCCTCCTGACACCCACTCTTGTGGATTGTGACTTGCTGGGCTTGGGGACGGGAATGCACCTTGGAGACAAGCAGGCAGTGCAGAGCCCATCTCCCATCTCGTCCCTGCTCCTGGTCAGCCCAACTGTGCTCTCCAGAGCCTGAAAAGTTGGGCTGACCAGGAGTGGGGATGAGATGGGCTCTGCACCAGCTCCTGGGGGCTTGGGGTGCCAAGACCAAGCCCAACCAGGTGCCAGAGGGAGCCGCTGTGTGTACCACAGATGGCTCCAAGGTAGTGTTGTGGCACATCCAGATTGTCACTTCTGTCTCTCTTGTTCCTAGGCAGGAAACTGAGGTGTGGAGCAGGCAGAGCTGGACACCAGCGCCTGGTTTCCCAGCATGGAGCACGTGCTTCCTCCAGGTGCATCGCTCTCAAGCAGCCATGGTTGACCGGGTGCCCTGGGAGTGTAGCAGAGGCGTGTGCTGGCTCCAGGTCAGCACAAAAACCTTTCTGCTGGTGACCAACCAGATGCTATTTACGTTCCCCAAGTGGAGAGAGGTTTGGGGCAGGCCCTCAATGCACAGGGGTGGGGAGGTTCACCCTCCTCACCTCCACTGTGGGGACCTTCGCTCTTGTTGGGGATGTGGCAGCAGGGAAATCCAGTTGGACCAGAAAAACTATTGATAATAGGGGAGGGAGAACAAGATAAAAGAGCAGCCCACGGCTTTGTTGTGCAAAAACCACCAGATGACCTCTGAGGGCCTCCCCTGCAGCAAGCTCTGATCTCAGGGTGTGGGGCAGAGCCCTGCAGGCAAACAGCTCCTGGGGGTGCAGCAGCCCCTGGTTGCCAGCCAAGGGACTGTGTCTGGGCTTCTCTGCCAAGCTGGGCAGCAGGAGCCTGGGTCCTGCAGGGCTTTCCCAGCTTAGTCTCACCCAGCCTTTGGGGTGGTAAATCCTGGGAAGACCCTTGCTGAGTCCTGAGAACATCCCAAGGCTCCCTCCATCCCTCCCACGGCAGCCGTGCCATCTCCGGTGGGGACTGCGCAGGCGGGCAAGGGGCTGGCACCAACCCAGGGTGTCCCCTCTCCCCAGCTTTGTGCTCTGGGGGTAGAACCCTGCCCCGTGGCTTTGAGGCTCCCCTTTTTTAGCAGATCTCAGAGATGTCTGCTCTGCTGGGAACAGGGCAGGATCAGTCCTCGTCTGCCCTGCCCGGTCCAGAGCAGCCAAGAGAGAGGCAGGTGGCTGTTTGTGCTGTGTCACCCTAATTTCTCAAAGATTTGTACCAGCTCTCCACCCCCTCCAGGGCAGAAACCAGAGCTTCAAAGGTTGCCTCGTGCCTGGCAGAGAGTGGATGACCTTGGGACTGTGTGTTCAGCTTATCTTGGCCCCGGTCAATGGTGTCTGGGGCTGATCAACGGCTCCTCCGTGCGCAGACGTCTCTGTGATAAGAGCCAGGCTGAGCCCCAGCAGGGCCCGGCCAACAGAAGCCACATGGTGCCACCACAGGCGAGGTCCTGACCTGCCACCACAGCCCATGGCTTGTCCCCACAACCTTCCTCCTTTTGCAATGAGGGGACTCATTGTGTGTGTTTCCCCGGTGGGCCATGTCCTGCTAGGCTGGCACAAAGATGGGGCACATCAGCTCAGTTTGATGGCACAGCTGCCCCCCCAGCCCCTTTCCCTACCCCAAGGCAGAGCCCAATGCTTGGAGCTGCCACGGGAAGATGCTGAGCACAGCCCTGAGCATCTCTGGACCCGCAGCAGATGCTGCCACCACAACACCTTTACATGGGCACGGAGGTCTCCATGTCCAAGCATCCTCTGTGCGGCCACTTCCCCTCTCACCTCCTGACTTCGGCTGCAGCAACACCTAAAAATCGGAGCAAAGATCATAGAATCACAGAATGACAGAATGGTTTGGGTTGGAAGGGACCTTAAAGATCATCTAGTTCCAACCCCCTGCCCTGGGCAGGGACATCTCCCACTAGAGCAGGTTGCTCAAGGCCACATCCAGCCTGGCCTTGAACCCCTCCAGGGATGGGGCATCCACAACTACCCTGGGCAACCTGTTTCAGTGTCTCACCACCCTCATAGTAAAAAATTTCTTTCTGAGATCTAATCTGAATCTTTTTTCTTCCAATTTAAAACCATTTGCCCTTGTCCTATCATTACCTTCCTGGCAAAGAGTCCCTCCTCAGCTCTCCTGTAGCCCCCTTCAGGTATTGAAAGGCCGCTCTAAGGTCTCCCCGGAGCCTCCTCTTCTCTAGGCTGAACAATCCCAGCTCTCTCAGCCTGTCTTCCTAGGAGAGGTGCTCCATCCCTCTGATCATCTTCATGGCCCTCCGCTGCACCTGTTCCAGCTGGTCCATGTCCTTTCTGTGTTGAGGACTCCAAAGCTGGACACAGAGCTCCAGGTGGGGTCTCACGAGTGCAGAGCAGAGGGGCAGAATCACCTCCCGAGACCTGCTGGCCACACTTCTCCTGATGCAGCCCAGGACAGGGTTGGCTCTCTGGGCTGCCAGCGCGCACTGCCGGCTCATGGTGAGCTTCTCGTCCATGAGCACTCCCAAGTCCTTCTCCTCAGGGCTGCTCTCCAGCCAATCTCCACCCAACCTGTATTTGTGCCTGGGGTTGCCACGTCCCAGGAGCAGGACCCTGCACTTGGCTTGGTTGAACCTCATGCAATTTGCACGGGCCCACCTCTCCAGCCTGTCCAGATGATGAGGGAGCATCCCCGGCACCCCCCCGGGCAGTGTTAGTGCAGGCAGGAGCTTTGCCTGACCCCGATTCTGCAGGGGACCTGGTGAGAGGAGGTTTGGCCGAGGCTCTCGCTGCTCTCCCCGCTCTGTCGGGAAGGGGCCGTGCGTCAGCCTCCCGAGACATCTGCTGACGAGTTTTTCATGATGAGTTTTTCATTACGCGATGGCCTTGCCTCCACAGGCAGCCATATGGCCCCGCGTTCTCCAGCGGGGCCCACAAAGCAGCGCGTTCCTGGGTCCAGACGCGTTCTCCAGCGGGGCCCACAAAGCAGCGCCTTCCTGGGTCCAGACTTCGCATTTCAGGGAAATTTCCTATGAGCAGATTTTTGGCACTTTCTTAAATGCACCTCTGACCTGTGCTGAGCAAATTGGGATGTAGAAATCCTCCAGGAGGTTTTTGGAGATCTCTTTCTCCCAGCTGGACAGTTCATCGTGGCAAGGACCACAAGACTTTTCTTCCACCAACCCGTGGCCGAGAGCCAGCTGGTGCAAAATGTGCTTATTTTCCCCTTATTTTCTCTCTAGCCATGTGGATGGCTTGGGTTTTGTTTCCAAGGAGTAATCACTGGAATGAAAAGCCCAGGCTAAAAATGATACTGCTGGTTTTCATTGTAATTTCTTTTGTGTTCTTTTCCTAATCTTTATTTGGCAACTATCATCCTAAAAGGTTTTCACACTTATTTAACTTCTAAATTAAGCGCCACTTAATGTTGGGGCGTGGGCCAAAATGCGTTGTAGCACAAAACAAGTAGAGCAGATGAAGAACTGTGCATCTCATTTTCACCCCTTTGATAAAAAAAAAAAAAAAAAAAAAGCAGCAGCAGCAAACCATATATCATGGAAACAGAGAGATGAGAGCCATGTGAAGAAACCAGCTCCTCCGTCCCTCTGGGCAAATGCTCTAAAGCTGCCACCCCACCAGCGTTTGCATAATTGGACCATAAATGTCTCCAAATGGCAAATTCGTGACTTTCTGCAGGCCACTCGCTCCAGACTGTCAGTTGTCCACCTCCTGGGCCAAGACTTGCTAGAACAGTTGGTAATAATTAGCCATGATTAACGAAGGGTCATAGTCAAGAGCACATGATGTGGGTCGCAGGGAGCGAATCCATCGGGTCGAAGCAGACAAGATGGATCACTGAGACCCGCTGGGTGGGGACAGGCTCCAGGCTGGGGGACCTTTGAGCAGGACCCGAGATTCTTGTACCCCTTCTGCTGGCCCTGAGTCTCTCCCAGCCTGTGCCAGTACCCCCAGGGGCTGGGAACAGGCTTCTCTGGTGGACACAGAGACAAAAAGCATCTCTTTCATCAGTGCACCCTCGTTTTCTCTGAGCTGATCTGCCTTTTGCTACTGGGGTACGTGTTAACTCCTTCTTCCTGCTCTTCTTTTGTACTTTTAGCTCCAGCTGGGCTTTTAGACCTGATTTCATCCCTGTGCGTCCAAGCGATGATGCTCTGACCTGTCCATCCTGCTTCTTGCCTGCTCTCTCCTTCCCCGAGGCACTCCATGCCCAGCCAAGCCCTTTGGCCACCACGCAACGGCTGGGCTTCTTCTCTGGAAGTTTCCTTTAAAATCTTCCTGGCCACCATCCCCTCTTGGTGACCCAGGTCCAATGTCCACTCTCCCAGTGGGATGAGGCCAGCGTTGCCACCACCACCAGCCTTGGGTCACAGCCCTGCTCCCGTGTTCACACTGCCACCAACACAACCTGGGCACTTTGTGGACACCAGGACGGTGACATTCCCTCACAGCCAAAATTCCTGGAGGATCGGGGCTGGCAGCTTGGGGGACTTGCAGAAATGCAGGCAAATGGAGATGGAAATAAACTCCTATGAAATGATTTTTTTGCATTTGTCTTCCTTTGAACGAGCAGCATCACTGGAAACGGGAGGAGTGGACGTGGGGGGCAGCTGGGGGGATAAGAAGAGTTGGGGAAAACGCAGCCGTGAATACACCGGGGGGTGCACGGGTGGGACTCAGGAGCAGGGATGGGGTTCACCCCCATTTTCTGGATCTGAATAACAACAGGAGGTATCTGGGGAGGGGCTGGAGGTGGGTGACACCCTGGGGTGAGGTATGGTGGGTGCTCAGGGAGTGGCGGGTGCAGGGCTGAGGGTTTGGATGGAGCAGGGCTCACCATGTGTCCGCTCCCGGAGTCTGGCGGTTTCCTAAAAATCCAGCCCCCTCCCAGAATCACTGCAGATCGACTGAAAAGGCTTGTTTTCCTTGCGAGTCCCTTCCCCCCCTGCTGTACCAAACATTTCGGTATGCATATCCTTTACTGCGCTGGGCTGTTTCCTTTGTGTAGGTGAGTTTAAAGTAACCTCGAAATACTCTTTCCAAAAACAAACCGAAGCACTTCCCTTCTGAAAATATTAAAATGCTTCATTTGAATTTCCCTTAAAACCCCCCAAACACGTTTTTCCTTACCCCCAAGTCCACCACACCCCCCCCTCCCCAGCCCAAACCATTTGTTGAACTCGACACAAAGCCCCAAAGGGTTTTATTTGCTGCAAAAACCACGTTGTTTTTTGGGGGGAGCGATGTCTTCGGGCAGGAAGCGGGCAGGAACCCGGAGGTTGCACCCCAAAGCTGTGTCGTCGTCCCCCCCCCCC